AGAGGTAAGGAGCAGGGGTCGACATCGTTTGATTTAATGTGGACAGAGATATATCACACCATGGTTACGTTGTTGTCTCAACCAAATCAAAAACAATGTAGAGAGTTAACATACAGCTTATTACATGCGCTCTTTTATGAACAAAGCCTTCACATTAATCTTTCACAATTGTCGTGTTCTTGGCCTATTTCTCCTTCTGAATGATGGCATTACTTGGCCAAGAAGTAAAGATAAATCACGCCCCTGTGTAGGAGCCAGTTCTTGACTTCGTGTATTTTCCGTTTAAGTATGTACTAAGTACTGTAGCAGCCAAGAAAAAAAATCAGAAATCTGGAAAAGAAAGGTTTTATTGTCTAGATAAACAAAAGAAAACCTTTGAATGCTCAGCTTCGCACAGTGCCCGGTGCATCACGCATGGGTGGTCCTGGTCATACTTTATTCAACAATTGGAAGTAAATCACAAAATTTGGCCATCCAAGAGAAATGTCTGTGACTTACGTGCATCTTTGTGTCCGTCCAAGAGGACATGTTTTATTGTTTTATCACCGACATCTACCTGATATCCATCAATGAGACCTTAGTGTCAATGGTCAAGTTTCTATTGTGTTTCTACCCCAACGTGTGTGCCAACATCGCATGAATAAAACTCATCAGTATGACATGGTTGGCGTTGTGCGTGAGTGACAGCGTGCATATGCCAATCACAAGCAAGGCTATGCTCACCAGTCAATGCTCAGGAAAAGCTGGCCAGTTTAAAGTCACGAACGACCGCGTCGCTCCTCAGAAACACCGCTTCCGTTCTAAATGGTTGAGTGAGAGCTGACTTGGTTAACTGGGAGAGCAGACTGCCGTCAACATTTCAAGTGAGTATTTGGTAGTGGACTCAGAATTATGAAATGGCTTGTTTCTCGAATGTGCAAAATGTGGAAGTAATTTGATCATATTTTGTGCTGTTACCCGTGCAAAAAACTGAAGCTAATCTTTAAGAAAACTCAAGTCAAGAGTTGGAATAACCCACCAATTGAAGTTCTCTTGAATATTGCCGAAAGGAAGCCTGAACAGCAAGTGTTCTTATAGATTTGTTTCTTTGTGATTCGGATTTTGGTCACGTAGCCAGTCACCTGAACATTTTTTAAAAATTCACTGATTCGAAGGCAAAACATTCCGACACTGAACGTCTGTAACCGTGATCTATAAATGCAGAAACCGCATGAAATACATGTAACATACCTTTATAAAAAATAATTACATGTATACGTATTCTGCGCCAATTTCCTTTTCCGAACTTCTTTTTTTGGTTGTTGTTGTTTTGTTTAAATGTGCCGTGTTCCTAGTATTTTATGCATTTAGTTTGAATCATACCAAAACAGCTTGCACCTAAATATAAAGCAATTGAAAGAAATTGGTCTTGTTAGAGTACTTCTCTCGCTTCTAAAATTTGCGTGCGAGGCTACTATATTTAAGGGATTTAGTTCGTGCACCTCACTCGACGGATTTCTAATGTATGCCTACTGAACAAGAAAACGAATTGACTAAGTACACACGACTGCATGCTGTGCATTTTTCGGGTGCGAATCTTTAGTGCGTCAACTGCAGTCTCTGGAGATTTAAAAACGCGTTGATTTTCTTACAGAATGTATCAGCCATAGCCAATCTTTATCAAATGCAATTATCTGTCTCAGTAGTTTGGGCACTTTAGTTGCCATCTGTTTGAAATTCCTGTGAAGTTGTTTAAGTACATGATGCTGCCAACACGAGGGGACATTAGTAAAATAATGAACAGTCGTTGCCATCTTATTCATGTCCATGGCAACTTGTGTAGCATGTGTATCAACAGTTGTACTTTTTATAAAGTCATTTTGAGGTCATTTTCCTAACATCAACAGTTTTACTTTTAATTGCATTGTGCAACTCTCGATGCAGGGACGTCGAGTAAGTCTAGCTTTCTTTCTTCTATCAACCGGGGACTCTACTCAGGTTAATCGGGAAAAACTTCCCATTCACAGTCCCGAGGCTTGTCACCATTTGATCATCTCCACATTTCGCTTACGTTTCGTCTGCACTGTCGAATACATGTAGCACGCAAACATCTGTCTCCCTCGTTACATTTCACCAAAGAATGGTGACTACGCTTTTCACACTCATCGTCCCGACATTGACCTTACTACACATTGATATGGATCATCTGAATTATGTCGTCCAGAGGTAATCATTATTTTTTCCACAGTGATTGTTACTTTTTTCAGACATTACTTTTACGCTGTGTTGGTTTTCAAATCTGGCATCTCCAAGGAACGTTATTTTGAAACCAGCAGTAAAATGTAACCAAAAGGTTTGCCACGCAATCCGAGTTTGTGTCGACAGTGGAACTTTCAAACTGTGTTTTTGGTTTTATCTTGGAAAATAAAAACTTTTGCGTGCTTGATGTTATCTACCGCTATACTTACAACAAATCTACTTGTAAATGATGCTTTAATAGCTGGTAAAGTCTCTAATCAGTCGTCATTACTCAATGTAATTATAACAGTGTTAAAGTGTTCTCAGAGTAGAGAACTCAATTTCAAAAGCCTGGATTTATTTTTGAAGTGAGACCTATTAGGGTCAAACGATGTACTTGTGGGGTATACTGGTAAGCTCAGTGGTCGAGTGGTTAAGATGTCTGCACTAGTAAGCAAGAGGTCGTGGGTTCGATTCCCACCCGAGTAAGCTAGTTAACATTTTTTTTTTGCAAGCTCTCGGACAAGCACTTAGCATACAATGTTTATTACTATATACGCTGGGAAAGAGCAAAAACCAGTTACATAAAGTATGACACATATTGGCCTATAGTCACTTTGATTTTCCCCATTTTTTAACAGCCTTCAAGTTCCTTTAGAACGGCTGCACGTGTGAAAAGGTCATTTTTAACCTGTCACATAATAATGGCAGGCAGAGCTAGTAGGCCGAGGCGGACGGAAATACTGCCAAAATATTCGACTGCTCCGTTCCGAGGGTAATTGGACAAATCATCAAATGCTCTTTGGGTTTTTCTAGAAAATGGAAATGTTAGGAATTCCCAGTAGGCTAGCATAGTACCTAAAAAACATGCTTACCTCATTTTCCCTCTCACGGTGCTTCGTATCTGCATTTACGCACTCATTATTTCTGGTACAAAGGCAGATTGAATTAAATTGCACTCCCTCATGAGTGAACAACAGAAAGGCTAAATTGACCAGGTGGTTTCTGCTTCAGAATGACAATAGCTAGGCAAGGAGTTGTCTGCTTCCGTTGCCTGGCATGTACGTCATCGGGTGCCCTGAACCACTGTGGCGTCCACTACGCTACTCCCCTCCTAAAGGAACCAAGTAAGAGTATTGCCATGAGAAATGCGAGCAACTTGATATGTCATTGCAGTACATGACTTGCACACCCTTCAAAGACTATATTGAGTACTGTAATTTGTGTAATTGGTTGCGGTATGTGTGGCTCTACTGATATCAATCTCTTTGTTTTCATTGAGGAAAGAAATACCAGCCATGCCATGCGTACATGAACTTCCTCAATCACTTCCGGAAAAGTTCAATGGGTCAGTTCATCCAGACGGAAGTCTGATTTCTATTGGGGATAGATATTTCACTGCATTAAAACTCAACTGAACACACCATGTTGCGATGTTTTCTTGGCATTATGAAGCAATTATTATCTGTCTGCAAAAATATATGAAAGCAATGTTCTTTTAATGGCGTTGCAGGCGTCGTGTTAATCTGTCGAATAATCCTACTACCAGTCTGTGCCATCGCTCAATGCTAATTCTGTAATAAATACATGTAATAGCTTTGACAGCATTATTTCTCTGTGACTGAAAAGAGCATACAAGCCAATGAAAGCAGCTGATAACAGCCTTCCGTTGCTGCATTCATTTAATTCTGAATAGCACGAAAGCTCATTAAAATACTCTCTTTTATAACTGTCAAAACTGTTTGTTCAAATCTTTCTTCGAATTACAAAAGACCACCAGTGAAGTAAACTTTAGACTGGGTGTACCGTTGATCAGACTGTAGGTGTTTGTCACTTATATGTCATTACAGGCGTCAGATAATAATATGGGGAATTGTCAAACTGTGTGGCTATTTCACCACGCACCATTTACCCAGGGATGTGTAACCGCAAGCGGCCCCATTGCAAACACATGTGCGACCTTGGTTCCATGCGTGTTACTTTTCTCAGAATTTATAGGATGGAATATCTTGAGCAGCATATTTTTAGAAAGGTTGTACCCTTACTTAAAATATTACGGGAAAACAAAGTGATAGACAGGAATATATTTTTTATTATTAGACATAATCCAATTTAATTTCTGCTTTGATATTGTGCCGGCTATAAGACGCATTGAACCAGCTCTGAGCTTAAGTTGCACATCCTTGGGTAAATGGTCCGTGATTTCACCGTGTTGCAGCCGTGACATTACATAGCTACGAAGTAACCTTCACCTTTGTGGAAGCAGCTAGCCACTAGCTTTTTTTTCCATTTCAAATTGATGCATGTTTCATGTGCAGTCGTAGCCAATTAAATAATAATACGACGTTTTTTGTCAGTGGAGCTGTTATTGGATGTCCAGAAAAAGAAAACAACTAAATGCATTGTTCTGCATCACGCTAAACGAACCACGCATGGGTGGTCTCCGTCAAATTTTATCTACCAATCAGAAGTAATCACCACAAAAGTTGTTGATCCAAGAGAGTGGTTCGTGACTGATAGTACCACCTGTGTCCATCTAAAAAGAATACTTTTTATCAATGTATCATTGACATCTACCTAGTTTCCACCAATGAAACTTGGACAATTCACATTGCTCGATGCCAATACCGCGTAAAATATTTCAGAAGTAGGATATGAAGGCGTGATGTGTGAGTGACAACACCCTGGAGCCAATCACAAACCAGACCAAGATCACCAGTCACTGCTCAGGAAATGACTGGCCAGCTTAAAGGTACGAGCGGCTGTGTCGCTCCTCAGAACAGCCGCCGTTTATCTTCAGTCTTGAATGGTTGCCTGAGATAGAGAGCAGACTGCTATCACCATTGCAAGGTGAGTGTTTAATACTAAGTTCGCTCGGAACAATGCAAGAACCAGTTTTTTAAATATACACAATCTGGTAATCATTCAAGTTTATCTCATGCTTTTACTGTTCCCTTTACAACAAATTGAGGTCAGTCTCTCGGATGACAGAGTTTGAGAGATTGAATCACTTTGTGATTGAGTTTGGGCTCCAATTGCTGAAACCATGCCGGAACTGCGAGTGCACTTGTTTTGGTTTGTCTCTTTCTCACCTGGGAAAGATGTTAAGCTTTGCAGATTAAAATTTCTGGTGAACTTGAATGCCACATATTCTAAAACGTGACTTTGCTCTTGCGATTTATAATTAGCTATAGGGAAGGTCCCTAAACTGAAATTTGCTAAATCCTCATCCCAGTTTTATGTACAATTCATTTTTTAGGCCAGAAAGAATGCAAGATTTTAGTGAGGCTGCATGGTGTATCTAACATTTTTGTTTGTGTATCTAGCAAAAGTAATTATGAATCACATAGAAAAGCATTCTGCGTTTAACCTAACCACTAGACTTCTTTTACTTTTTTCGTTGGGTTTGTTCACGCTTAATGTATTTAAACTTTTTTGCACATTAAAGGGCATACGAATAAAATATTAACGACAGACTCATTATCTATGCTGCAAACCCTATTGTCATGGTCTCGTGACGTCAAATTTGCTTTGCTTTCGCATTCAGAAGAATACACCGGTATTTAGATCTTAGCGTTATGTGTAATTTCTTTGTGAGGGAGAGCAATGCCAGTCAACGTATGAAAGATATTAGAACCATTGAGCAATCCAAAAACGTCTGAAATCATTGTTTTTCTCGGAATAAGATACCGACTGTTATCCTGAGTACTTTGATTTCCTGATATCCTTCCTTTTCCCTTCCTTTTTATTCCTTTTGCCCCCAGGACTTCTGTAAGACCAATTATTTTTGACAAAAGTATCTGACTGAAAATCTTAAAGTGACAATTGTACCGTAACAGCCTAACGGAAAGCAGTTTATTTCAAAAGCGAACCAATATCCAGCTTGTTTCAAATTTTAGTTTAATTTATTGAAGCTATTAAAGATTTCGGAACAAAAAGTTGAATATCACGCCGTGATAAGCAGTGCGTGTTTATGTGCTTCAAAAATGTCCCTTCAACTTCACATTTAAAACAAAAGAGTGTAACCTTTTTTTTTAGTGCTACCTGTACTTACTTAGGTATCACTCAGCTATTACTCTTTAACACAGACCTTGATTTAATGAGATGTTCAGCCTCCACTGAATAAATTTCCATGTACAAATGATGTAATTTGTGACAATTTAGGGGAAATAGGGGAAAGGTAAATGTGGGGGATGACTTGCCCAGGTAGGAAAATTTAAAACGGGTAGTGACACCACCTAACTTGAGACCAAAGCTTAAGACAGCGATATAGATTTGAGATATGTATTTTTAAATGGCATATCTATGCCCTTTTCAAATTGTTATCCATTTTTGAGTGATAATTAGGAGTGCATTTTCGTCGTTGGCAGCCTGGAAAAACCTTCACAATCTGTTTTGAGTTCCGCTCACCACAAACTATTGGGGGTTGATTCAAAATCTACCCCCTGGGATTTACAGCCGTGATGTGGACAAAAGTGGGCATATATCCACCTCCGTACTTCCTCCTTTACACCTAATTGGAGAGCTTTGACAGTACTCTTTTATTGTTGAATTTAAAAAAAAATAGTTTCCTTCTTCCCATTTGACATTTTACCTGCAATATCAGGGTCAGTTTCTTTGTAATCTACAATTTCTGCTGTTAAAAAATAAAATAAATTGTCATTGCGTCAAATGTAATTTTGTTTGAATTATGATGAATTTGATAACGAATTTACCTATGACAAAAGGGAAGTACGTCATTGTTTGGGTTTTGATTTCACAAGTAAGGCTAATTCGGGGATATGAAATTGACTGTTGTTTTCATTTCAATGGCTTGCTTAATTAAGCACTAACTACTAGAGCAAAATTGAGAGAAAAAAAAGAACTGCCGTTTCAACGGTCAGATAAAAGATCTAATGTTTCTTTTAAAATCACTTGACAACATAGCAGGGATGAGACGTGCTTGCTTAGCACTTTCCAGGGCTAGGAGTAATCAGTAAATTTCAACTGAATTACCGTGGATCCTTTGAATGAAACTTCACTGAGCCTTAAAATTCCTGCAGTTTACTGGTGTCCCTGACATAACTTGCTGAGTACAGTATTGTAATCATAAGTATGTGGGCACAATTATGCTTTAGAGCACGATGTAGCTTCAGTGTACGCGTCGATTGAAGACTAAAATCTGTTCTCAATTTGAATTATATCTGGAAACATTGGAAGATTAACGAATGAAATCATAGTTTTGTTTAAAAGCCCTTTTGCTGTGTAGGCTAATGAGCGTGGGGGAGCATCCACTATGTTTCAAATTGGAACCAGGCTATTGTGCTTCCGGGCTGACTGTATAATTACAATATTTTTGGTCAAGAAAATTAATTTTTGTTTAAAAAATGTAATATCTATTTTATGTAGTTTCATCTTTTTCATTTTCCTCAAAGCTTTCACTTGGGTTTATATTGTCCTATTTGCCAGAAGTGAGTTTTAGAATTAATGTACATTGCTGTTTTAGTATAACCTGTTCAACTAAAATAGCCTGATCCGAAGCGGTTTACGCGCCCGCTGAACTCTGGCAAAGATCCGGGCCTTACGAACGCAAACCACGGCAAACGAGCTGCCACCCTAGCAGAGTAAAATGGTAAGCCACAACGGCCCACAGTACATAGACTTATGAACGTTACGTCACTGCCGCAATACAAACCGATCCACCGGAAACACGTACGCGTATATTTGTCTATATGGCCGTAACACGATGCTCAGTTGGAAAAACACCTTGTTGCGTCTGTATCTTCTGGGTTTAATGTTTTTCCTTGTTTTTGTGCCCTTTCGGACGAAACTGGGGGAGGGGTCAGCGATATGCGGTTATATCGTGCCGTCCTGGGTAATTCAAAGATACTCTAGAGTCAATCACATAAATCGTGCTTCGTGAAAAAAACAATATTTATTTTGGGGGAACAATCTTGAGCCTCTTTGATTACACACGTGACGCCGTACTGAATAAACAACAAACACAAAATTACGATCAAGCAGGCACACGCAGGTACACGGTGCACAGTCTAATACGTATGTACACATGGTATGAGTAACATTGTACCTGTACTGTACGTATGATCGAGGAACAACATTTTATAGAATCTGTCGTGTATGAACAGACTCTTGTTGTCAAATTATGAAAATACTGCTTTAGACAATCTGGTGATCGACGACTTTCAGTCTCAAAAACAAGCTGCAATTGTAGCGTTCCTGCGCAGATGTGACATTTTGAAATTCTTCCAACTGTGCCATGTTCCGAACGTGTTAATTAAAAAGCAAACCTGCTCCAGTCAAGACTATTGCACAACACACCTTGTAAAACCCAGGCCACGTACGTACAGCAGGCCTAAAGACCAGGATTGTCAAAATCATCGCCCAAATCCTTGATCAAGGCTCGTTTAAGATGACTGACCTCGCGGACCTAGGTAGAAAGCGAACACTTCTTACCAAAAAAAACAAATATTCTTATTTGAAAGATAAGATGAGGCTCCACTTGCATTAAGGGAATATTTTCAAGGATTATTTGGCAGTCCTGGTTTGGTGATTTTACCGAGTACGTAACTTAACTGTCCATCTATTTTCTGGAATGTACATGATATATACATTACACCATATATCTGAAGTATACATGATTTGAAAATTTGAATGGGCTGGTTTTTAGTCTGATGATGGAGAGGGTTATGATGACAAAATTGTTCCTCCGACATCATTGAGTGCTTTCTCGATACTTGATCGAAAAGAACAGTCAGAATCATTGGTCCAATAATTTCACATTTCAAATTACATTTGATAACGTGTAATTAATACTATTTCGTTTTGTAAGCAGTCATTCGTGATATAAATTGACTCAAATACAGATACAAACACAAACTCCTCTGAAGAAATTTAATGACACGGCAATTACACTTTTGAAATAGAAGATAAAATCAACGCACGTCCTTTCGAATTCGACACGAGTTCTTTTTTGCAGTATGACGTCACACCCCACTGCAGTGCCCTCTATCAAAGCTTCAAAGCACTTTCCTATTTAATTTTGTAATATCGTGGACAGAAAAAAATCACAATTAGAAGAAATTCAATTAAAATAATCAAAGGCCGATGTTATGATAATTCAAAAATGAGATCTACTTATTTAATTAGTTTTCGGACGTCAAGTTCACATTATATTCAACGTCCAATCACATTTGGACTTAGTTTTCACTTTTGAGATTTTTTTTTTCTTTACGCACACGCAAGGTTCATGAGACAAATTGCAGATAGGGCAGCCAAGTTGACATGATTGATGGAATCGGCCCATCTGGCTGTTAGAAATTATCCAGCTCAAAGGAAGTAAATACTAAAATTGATGTTAATGATGACACTTGAGTGGGGATGCTGTCGAAATTTCTGATTTCCGCTGCTTTCGCTAGTCAACATTTCTTCACTTGATAAAAATGTTCAAACTTTTTTTAACTGTCACTCATTGGAGCATTAATATCCAGACAACGTATGACACGACTGGGCACCTCGTTGAAGCATTATTCATCGGTGATTTGTAGATTATAAACGAAGCTTAAAAACGATTGGATAACGTTGGGATCTCTATTTTTTTCTGGGTGAAGGCTGCTTGAGCCTGTTGCGTCCGGACGAAAGGGGTAATAAATAATCCCCAGTCTCAATGTATACTCATTTCAAAGGCTAATCTTTTTTAATTTTTTTTTATTCAAAGCTTTTTGAGCTTATTATGTATGTGTGGACGGATATTGGATTGACTCCCATATAATTATGTGTCTCTGTTTACCTTTGGCTTTTCTTATTTTTTCTTACTTACGTAGGTTTTTTTCTTATTCTTCTACTTTGTTACAGATGCATCTCGTTTTTGCCATGGCCGCATCGTTTGTCTTTCTTCTGGCTAACTCTATCTTGCTTCAAGCTACCATTACTGGGCCAGCTCCTACAGGTGGTAATGGTCCTGGGCCTCAGGTGTGTCCAATGTGCTGCCGGGGACCTGCTGGGACACCTGGAATTCCTGGCCTACCCGGAAGTCAGGGTCAGTTTGGACCTACAGGGGCGAAGGGCGATGTTGGGGTCAAGGGTCAGAAGGGTGAGATTGGTCTAGTTGGCGCTGTTGGACACCCTGGCCCCAAAGGGAACGACGGAATGGGCCTGCCTGGTAAGGTGGGTCCCAGAGGTCCACCTGGTTTAATTGGAAACACCGGGGAAGCGGGGGTCAAAGGTCAGAAAGGCGAGGCGGGAGAGACTCCTGGTAACTCTGCCCCTCTGGTGGCGTTCACCGTGACGCGAAGAAGTGGCTCGGATCCCTCTACTAGTCACGATACTCATTTGCCCTTTGAGCATGTTGAGACGCTTCTGCTGGGTACTACCTTTGATCTTGCAACTGGGACATTCACCTGTAATGTGGCGGGGACCTACGTGTTCACGTTTTCTGTAGGCAAATATTCCTCCAGCCGCCTCTGGGTTCATCTTAGGAAAAACAACGACGTGGTTGTCTCTGGCGGTAACAATGATTCCAGTCACAATGAACAGGTGTCTGGGAGCGCGGTGCTGGTTCTGCAGCGAGGAGACTCGGTGTATTTGACCATGTTCGGTAGGGCGTACAGTGAGTCCACCTATCACACCACTTCATTCAGTGGATTTCTCCTTCACGCGGAACATGAAGAAACCCTGCACTAGATTTTGGGCTTTGGGGCTACTTCAGGCGCGTTTTTTTGCAATGCTTCCAATTGCAAAGTGTTTATCATTCCTGGAACCTTGTATGCATAGGAACCTACAACCAATTTCGATCATAATTTGTATGTCTTTTTCTCCCACTGTCTTTGCTTGCGTAACATTCACATATTCCCTTAAAACACCTTTCTGTTGACGTTTCTGTGGATGTTTTTGAGAGGCACGTATTATTCATATCAACGAGAAATTATGCAAAACTAAAATAATTAACACAATAAACAAATTTTTAATCATTCTCCATGTACTTGAACAATTTAGAAACAGCCATTCACCTTCAACAAACTTAATAATGTAACAATTTTACTTTGGAACTAATTAAATATAAAATTAATTTTAAAAATAATGTCCTTAAAATGATGGCACCTAAAACAAAATAACAGTTCCCTGTTATTAAATTCCTGTTAATCAGATATTGTTTAACGTGTATAACATTTGAAAATGTTATGAGACTATATTTCCTAGCATCCAATACATTTATTACACGGCATTACCCATAAAATATAAACCAAAACGGTGTTTGTGAAGATCATGTCAAAAGGGTGTTAGAAATATGAGTAATAGTTAAGATGTCATTTCTGTCAGAAAATATAGAAAATTTTGGACGGCGAAGTTGGCTTTTACAATCGACAATTGATTTAAATGCCTAGAGCACTGTAATTTATGAGGTATTTTAATTTTCGGTGAATAACACCATTATTTAAAGCTGCATGTACAATAATATTGAGATGTGATACAGCTTTTGGGGCAGGTATCCGTTTTGTTTCTCAGCGCAGCTTTAATGATCTTATATGCAGGGGGTGGTTACCAGACAATAACCCACCCCTTAAATAACCGCTGTGTATCTTAACATTCCAGTAATGATGATCCAGATTCATGTACATTACAGTCTCAGCTGGTGACTTCAAAAATGAATCAATGCAAGATATTCTCTCGGTGTGACTGTAAGTAGAGATAATGTACAGTGTCTAAGTATGTCTATATTGTATTGACAAGAAAGCATTTTCCGGACTTATAAGCCGAAGGTAACCAAGGGCATTCAAGCGTACACGTTTTTGAGCTTATAGGAAGTTCTTTGTTTCCTTTTAGTGTTGCATTCCTATCCTCCGATTTTTCCCCAAAATAACCTCAATAAATTTCAAATACGTTGAGATGACAGAGGGCGCCGGGCAGCACGGCATTTGGGCTTATTCTTCATAATTGGATGTGTTTAAGTTACAGACATAAAAAGGCATAGATTGCCAGTTCTGCAGATATAAGCATTGATCAGCAACATAATATTTACTGAGCGTTTCTGTTGTGAGCAGTTAAGTTAACGGACTAGTTGGTCTTTTGGGGAGTTGATGATTGGTGACTCTTGGACCTCGACGTACACCAGGTTCACAACAGTTGCACCACGCGAAAACCGCTTAGGAACCCCCATTGCAGTGCACTGGACCGCCGGCCTCTCCTAGCCCTCCTGTCTACTAATTATGCTATGAAGCACCTTCTTCCCTCCACTAGTTGCCTAATGAGACTAATTTAGAGCAGAAGAGTCATCAAACTGCTCACAGTACAATGTTTTGTTTATTTAGGGTCACTGTTCTGTTCACGCCATTCAAAATATTTAGGCCAATCAATTAACAAGGTTTGGAGCCAATACCATAGACAAGGAAATTTCATGGCTTGGAGGCTTGGACACTGTACTTCCAACAAATTTGATTCGTCCCTAGCCATTAGGACCCTCCGTACCTGGAAGAAGAGGGCGCCCTCGTTCAGAATCTGCCATCCGACTGGGGTGACGTCACAATACGAATATAGACGCTTGCAATGCTAACGAGACGAACTTGAAAGGAAGCATATTGGGCTTATTTGCTAATTTATTATTATTCAAAATTTACCTTTTTGACTGAGGACTCTTCACGAAACGAAATTGAGTGGCACCGTGTCTCCGTGGTAATTTGTATTTCTGAATTCTTGAATGACATGCCTGACATGTCTGCTCGATTTAAATCAAGCATATCAAAACGTACTGATTTAAGATTGGTAAAAACATTTTTATAACCACCCATCCTGGAAGCGTTTTAAATCCTTTTTCGTTAAAGTTTTCAAGTCAAAGACAACCCAGGTTTATGCTTTAGAGGGCTAGAGAGTAAAGAAATATTTTTTATTTAGGTGATCGTTTTATTCTCCTTAAACATAATTGCTTTTGGCTCAATTTTTTGTCCTCTTCTAATCGGAAAAGCAGATCACAAAACGCTTACCAAAATGATGCAGGGTACTTTACAAGCTGAAAGTAGTATAGAATTCATATTGTTATTACAACAACGATGGCCTGATGAACGTTGTCTGAGCCCATGGCAACTACGGACGCAACATTTGATCGTGTCCTGAGCAACTTATGGCAATCAGAGATTTTTACGGGGGCCTAAAAAACGTTTGGCGGGAAAACAACAATTCTAAAACTTTATTGGTCAAGTCAAATCGGCGCTTAACAGGCTGTTCAATTTGCCATTGGCGATCTGCTTTGCGAGAATGCACAATCAATCAGATGCAAAATGCAATGAACAAGTAATACTTTGACAACTAGTGAAATGACAGTAGTCTGGATACAAGTTGCGATGATTCTTACGAATCAAGGGTCCGGTATCATCCGATGTCCACGTGACCAAGACTGGAGGAATTTTTGCCAGTTTTCAAGAAATATATTAAGTATTCCAAAGTCTGCAGGCTATACTTGGCATGTTTGGATGATGGTACCGTTGGAGCTCGGTATTCCTGGCAGGTATTCCCGTCATATCTATTTATATCATTGGGTGAATCCTGACCTAAGAATTTTTATCGAGATTTGTCAGGGTACCTTTTGGCAGGGAACCATACTCATTAAACAGATGTTGAATGCAAATTGTGAATTTAGAATACGTCATTTTGAGAAAACATAGTCAACGAGCAGATCCCTCGCCCTGTGTTCGTAGTGGATAAACCCTTGGTCATTGTTTGGCGTGCACAAGCCAGGTGGAGGCTTCCGCTCTTTTTCTCTGTTTTCTTAGAATGATGCAATCTACATTCAGAATCCGCATCTTGGCATGTGCAGGAAAAAAAACCTTGTTAGCTTGTTACAGTTAAGCCCTGAAGACAAATAACACTGCATTTGATTGGGATGCTTCTATGTTAATTTGGACAAATATAAATCAGAGAAAACATGTTTTCCTAAGAGGTGTTCTTTAAATTGAATTCGTGGCCCAGCCATACCGTCGGGGTTTATTTAATTTTTTCACTTTGTCACGAAAACAACGTAAGCATTCCGCGAGATGTGTCTGTCCAAAAGGCTGACTCACTTATTCTACGGCTGGTATTTCCTCTTTCAATGGTAACTTCACCATCGATATGATTAGTGCCAACGCAGCACACTCAAGTACTCAAGTATACTGATCATTTGGAATGATATAGGCTTTTGAGAACGCACAAATTATTGATAGTACTGACGTAATGTCCCAAATATTTACCAGTCACTTGCAATTGTCTTGGCACTGTTCTTACTTGTCTTCTGTGCCGGACACCACTAGCAGATTTTTCCTTACCTCGTTTGTGTTTTTTATCCAGAGACCTTTTTTGATGCAGGAACCAGGCCGTCTACCAAGCGTTTCTGGTGCTCACTCAGCCATTTTGTCGTTACAAAATTAGAATGACAACACAGGGAAGCATGAATAAGCTGGTCAACAGGTCAACAATCTAAGGGGTGAAATCTAAATGGGGATCGGTCGATTCGATGGTATTGCCTTTATAAACATACAGGCTTTGTACAGGGAGAACTCTCGTATTTATCTTTATTTTTTCTCACAATACATGAATTATAAATATGACAAATGGCAATTTGTGTGAAGGTCTAGGTAACTGAAAATGGGGTTACTGAAAACGTTTTCCCTTTCAAAGACAATGGTGCTGCCTTTGCTCAGCTTTCACTATAAGCTACGATTTATCCGCTAGAGCAGAAGCGCCCCATCTTTGGTTGAGCAGAGCCAGGTTTGTGAGTTTATTTGAGCGCCCTCCCTTGGTTAACCTCTTGATAAAATGTATTTCCTTGTAGAGTGAGAAGCACACTCAGTTTAAGACATATTTCACACTAAAGAAAATGATTTCAACAGAGCTAACCTCTACTCTTTGGAAATGCTACATGTTCTTACAGTATAGGAATGGTGTTTATTTGTTGTCGTTGGGGCAACAATGCAGAAAAGCAAAATGAAATGTTTTGCTGCACCAAAAGCTTTTTTAGTAATTTTTCAGCAGCTTTTCCTTGCAAATGTTTCGAGGTCAAGGTCTTGCTATTGAGAACCCATGTACATGAAGTTCCTTTCAGTAATATAAAAGTGACTGCGTGATCAATTCTAGGCAAATGCAACTTCTTTTCCAGGAATAAACTTTGACATTGACATTGAAAACAAAAAATGACAAATGAGCAAATAATTATACCATATATGAAAACTTCCGGGTTGATGTTTAAAAAGCTTATTGGGGATGAATGTCGTTGATAAACATCAAAAGAAAATTAACATTCAATGAGTTTTGAATAATACATTTATAAAGTGAAAGTTCAATGTAGTCATTTCTGTCACAAATCTTGCAAGGTTTGGCAAAGTTTGTTTAGAAAGTGATTTCAGTGGCATATCGCTAATGGAGAGGGGGCATTTACTCAGAGACGTGTTGGCATTTACTAAATGAAAGCATCAACATTAAATTAAAACCCTGTACTTTCACCTGGTCTTAGCGAAGTGAGTTTTCCCTTCTAACTGCTATCCTGTCATTCATTTTTGAATTACAGTAGAGCAGTTTTATTTAAAAATCCTTACTCCTTATAAGCGATTTATACAACCCCTGAAAACCACCAATAACAAGTTATTATTCTGAGACGCAGC